CACCAGTTTAATATTGAGGTGCTTGGCAATTGTTTACTTGAGAGAGTCATTTTGAAAATACTTGTACTAGAATAACTTTTGGTCATTATATTCAATTAAATCAAATAGATGACTAGTGCAATTTAATTATCATTACATTATTCATATTTATACTCTGGAAGTTTAAGGAAATTTTCTGAACTCAGTAGATTTCCCAGTGGCCCTGGATGGTCGGTGTAGTAGGTAAACTCAGATTTCTTTTTTTTCTCTCAATGTTTTTACTTTATAATCTGTGCTCAAAACTTTTTGAACATTAGCAGTGAAGTGATACTTCTTTGAGGTTTTAAAGTTAGTTCTGTCACTGTCACCTGTTTCCCTAGTTTAGTGGTGAAAAGAGAATATTATTGATACCATAAACAAAGACATTTTATTCTGTGGATAGTTAGGCAATTACTTACACCATTATATGTTAACTCCCGGGAGTGTTCACTTCTCCACAAATCTCTGTTTTTGACTGGTTGCAGCCTAGCATTCTGCAATTTGTCTTTCATCCCTTTGGTTATGGTTTTGTTCTGTGTTGAGAGAGGAATAGCTTATAAGAAGCATTTGCAACTTATCAGCCATTTCTACCTCTTAGTAAATGCATCGAAAAAATCCTTTCCTATGTTTTTTACCAATGAGAGAAGAACATAAGGTATGTCATGGGTAGAGTCTAGTGGAGAAAGCAAATAGCTTTGCAGAAATAATGAGAAAGCCAGTAGGAAGTGCTTTTTGGATCTAACCTAGGCCTTCCCTTAATTTTCCTGGATAGATTTAAACATGTGGGACAGTGTTGATCTAACTTTTTTCCAAACTAGTAAAATACATTTTTCAAATATTTTGGTATCTTGCTTTTTGATTCCCTTCAGCTACACAGTGACTGAATTATTTCTAAGTCAACCACCTTTCGATTTTCAGGGAAATGGATCTCTTCAATAGTCTGCACAAAGACTGTAAGAGACTGGTCTGACTAAACATTACAAGTCACTAAGCATGAGGATGCAGATACAACGTTACATCTATGTTTATAATCCAACCGCTAACCAAATATTTGCTGATTTCTTAAAGGAAATGTTAGCCTTGAAATTTTCTTCCAGAGTTAGAGTTAGACATTGGTTTTTAGCTGCTTAAAGATGTATATGTGGCAAATAGCAGTACTAGTTTTCACCTGCCACTTAAATCGTAAAGCAAGCATTTCTCTGTCACACCCTTAGAGCAGATGAAGCAGAGGATGTGAACTGTGGGAAGACATCTTGGATGCTTATTTTGTGGGTATCATTAGCTGCTGTGAGGAAGCAACATGAGACCCTGGGAAACAACTGCAACACTAACCAGACTTTCCAGATGCTCTTGAATATTCTCACCCCTGTGCTAGAAGGAAAAGAGCTTTTTGGAACCGGGCCACTTTCTGCAGCTTTTGCAGCTGCTCTGCCTGAGGGGCAGTGGATGGAGCTGGGACAAAGTCTAGTTCCAGGAGCTATAAGGAAAACACATTTCCTTTCATGGGGTTTTAAGTAATTCTGTGAGCTAAAAAAAAAGTCTCTAATTTTACCTTGTTTGAATATTTCTAGGAATTATACAATTGGACAGTTATGGAAGTGGAAGATTCCTCAGATGTCTGACTCCCTAGTTTTGTAGACAAAAGAATTAAGATCCAAAGAGGGTCAAGAATTGCCCGACTGTGGAGCCAAGTTTGTGTAGGGGCTGATGATTCAGTCTTCACTGATTTTTAAATAATTTTCATTTAGAAAAGAATCTTAATTGGCAAACACAGGAATTTGGGTTCTCTACATGTTATGTTATGCTATGTGTTACGTTTTGTTGTGTTATGTTACATTACCACATTATGATTCATGCTATGTTAATGCTCTATTGTTGAAAGCAAATACAATATCATTTCTGGGGCTGTTCTCACAGTCTAGAGTTCACAAAACAATTTATTTAATACCTGCTTTTCCAACAACAGAGCTACTTACTTTTCCTTTCCTACAAAAGTTCCTCATGGCACTAAACATTTAGTAGTGCTTAAACAGGAAGCAGAGTGTTGTGGTCCCTAAAATGTGGTTCTCCTCTCTTGTCAATACTTGCCCCAGAGTGCACACATAGGTCTTTGCCAGAGACAGTCCCCTGCTGGACTGTCATGCAAATGGCAGATTAAACAGTAGCATGATTGGTCCAGTTCCTAATGCCCTATCACATACTCTGAGCCCTTGGTTTTCTATTAGACCTCAAGGAATGACCTCATGTCTTGTGGTTTGGGGTCCTACGTATTTAGTTCTGCTTGCTTTTCCTGTTCTCTCCCTCCTGTCAGGGTTCTCACCACTCAGCCTGCTCTTTCCCGTTCACTGAGAGAGTGAATGTATCCTTTTCTTATCTCTATTTCTGCAAAAGTTATACTTTAAAATGCTTCACTATGATAGACTATTTAATGTCTTTGCAGTGAAACAGTTGAATATCACATTTCCTGTTATCTTGTTAATATTATCAAAACTACATTAATGAGAATTGGTAAAATGACCTCATTTGCTTAGTCTCTCAGCATTTGTATAAACTCAGAGGGTTTTCCTCTTTTTTTTTTTTTTTTAACAACCTGACATAATTTAATTTCAAGTTAAATTATTGATTTTTGCCTTTATTTAAATAGCTCCAACTATTACTACAAATGACAGACCATTTAAGATTGACAGTTCAAAGGTACAGCCAGTCACCCTTACAGAAATTTTTATTTTACCCTAAAGTCATGGTGAATTGATACTCTTTTGAGAACTGTTTATCTTTTTTTGTTTTTAATCATTACAACTTCTATTTTAGATTCAGGGGGTACCTGTGCAGGTATGTCACATGGGAACCCTGTGTGATGCTGAGCTTTGGGGTATGGGTGAGCCCATGACCCGGGTAGTGAGCACAGACTCAGTAGGCAGTACCTCACCTCTCAATCCCCTTGCCTTCTTCCTTCTCCAGCAGTCCCCAGTGTCCACTGCTTTCATCTTTTTTCCATGTGTACTCAATGTTTAGCTCTCACTTACAAGTGAGAACATGTGGTATTTGGTGTTCTGTTCCTGTCTTAATTTGCTTAGGATGCTAGCCTCCAGCTGCATCCATGTTGCTGTAAAGGATATGATTTTGTTCTTTTTTGTGGCTGCATAGTATTCCATGGTGATGTACCACATGTTCTTTATCCAATCCACTGTTGATGGGTACCTAGGTTGGTACCTAGGTATGATAGGGTGATTCCATGTCTTTGCTATTGTGAACAGTGCAGTGATGATCATGAGTACATATGTGTTTATGGTAGAGTGATTTATTTTCCTTTGGATCTATACCCAGTAATGGGATTGCTAGATTAAATGGTAGTTCTGTTGTAAGTTCTTCGAGAAATCTCCAAACTGCTTTCCGCAATTACAGGGACTAATTTACATTCCCACCACAGTTCTGACAGTGAACTAGAACAACAACTACCTTTTCTCCTTGGCACTGTGAGGAAAGATATTTTTAACTAAAGATTTTGAACATTTGTATTCAGTCTTGCTCAGAGGGACGCTTATATAAATCTTTAAAAGCAGAAGCCCTGTTTTAGTTCAAATCTGAAAACAGAAAAGTTAACTTCCCCTCTCTCTACCTATCTCCCACACCCTCCTCTTCTAGGTTCTTGGTCCTTGGTCCTTGACAGAGCAAATCAGAATACAGTTTAAGAAGCATAATTTTAAACAACTAAAATATTCACACAAGCACCCTCAAAATTCAAAGTGGGCTATATTAAAAAAAACCCAGTAAATTGATTGTTCAAAGCCCAGAATTTATTACTTTTTAAGATGTTTCTGGTTGGAGAGTAAATTGGTATAGCATTTTGAGGGAAGAACTTGATAATGGAAATTAAATTATTTTTCTACTCTAATAAGAGTCAGTAATTCCACTCTTGGAATTTATCTCTTAAAAATAAATACTTAGAGAAATGTCCAAAATGTATGTATGTTGATCACAGTGGTGAATGAGATAGTGAAATATTGAGAACAATCTAAATGCCAGATGGTAACACCATGTTAATATAAATTATGATGCATTAATTCAGTGGAATACTAAGCAGCTTTAAAAACTTGTTATATAGTTATACCTTCTCTGTTTGTGTTTGGCATGGAAACGTGTCCATAACATAATAAGTAATAAGCTAAATTGAAGGCAGTGTATATGCCTTATTTAATACTATTTTGGGTTGCACATATGTGTGTGTATGCATATGTGTGTGTGAATATAAACTCTGGATGAATGTTTACTGAAATATTCAGTGATAATTTATACATGGTAGAATTAGAAATAATTCCAAATTATTTTGCCCTCTTTGTGCATTTCTTATTTTAAAATAATAAATGTGATACTTTCATAGTCAGAAAAAGCAATGGTGTTAATGGTGTTATTTTGGCATTTTTATTAATAAAAGATTGTTATATTGCTATACATTTTCATATTAGCCAGTTATTTCACACAGAGAATAAAGAAAGTGTTACCAGTAGACTTATTTGTCCACAGAAAGTACACTTCTTCCCTTTTGCATTCTGAAATGAAATCTTGAATCTTTTGAGCTTTCAATCCTGTGCCCTCTCTAGGACTATAGGTGGGTTGAGGCTGAGACGAACTGTAGGCTGCTCTTGGTGACAGCTCCTACAGTGGAAAGAGGGGTACTTGGCAGGGGTCCGGAGGAGTAGGAAGCCTCCGTGATGGGGATGAGGTCATTCAAAAGTCACATGTTCTTGAGACAGAGGCTGTGTGTACTAAACATCACCATAAAGTGATATCAACCCTGAATTAAAGAAGCAGTTATTCGTTTTTCACCTGAGCCCCTAAGTCTTGTTCTGTGAAACCAGTGAAGGGCTATTCGAAAGTATACTTTCTAGTACAGCTCTCGCTGGCTTGAAAGATGAAACTCTCCTTAGTCATTCCGAAGCATTACTGCAGTCCAGATGTATAGTTCATATCTTCCAGCAAACGTCTGTGGGAATTATTTCCTCCCAGAGGTATTAGATTATATTTTTCCAAGTCAACTCTTCCTGGCTGCCCTTCAAGGTTCTAAAGATTCTCTACTATTGTGATGTAACTAGTAAGAGGCAAAACCATGAGAATCAGAGGTAAGTGCTTATCAAAGGAATAGAACCAAGAGGACAGATTCTACTCAAACAATGCCATCCTTAAATGGAGGTCAACGGTTTGTCTGTTTATAGGAATGTGTCTAATCTATATCTGTATCTATGTCTGTGTCTATGTTTATATCATCAGACATACACATATGTGTGCATGTGAACACACATGGCAGAGTTCTTTCAACAAAGCCAAATAAGAAAGTTAAACTATAGCTGAGTCTGTACAAGTCCACAATCTTGATAAGAAAAAGTTCAGCAGTAGTTAATTAAGCTGTTTTTGTGTACACAAACTACCCTGTATTGGATATAACTGGGGAATATGAAATAGTGAGAATGAGGCTATTGAAATGCCTCAGGAGAAGATAAAAAGTTTACTATGGAAGTCAGTCTTCCAGAGGAAAGACCTGAAGTGAAAAAGAGTCTTTCTGGAAGATAATACTAGATATGGATTATTGAAGAGGAGACGTAAAAAATTCCAAGTAAAGGAACAGTAGAGGAAAAACACAAAGGCAGGGTGTCTGTGATTTGTGGAAGATGTGAGGAAACTTGGTGAGACACAAATTTAGGGGTCAGAGAGTGCTGGTGAGACTGGTGGGGACACCATGGTTACTTGGGTGAATATTTTCTCATTTTATGGGAATTTCAGGATGTTAATCGTCCTTGGCCACTGGGTAATAAAAGGCAGTAGCTCTTTCCAGTCATTGTGACAACCAAAAAAGTCCCACAAGTTTCCAAACATCCTCCATGGGAGATTTATCATCCTGTCTGAAGAACCACTGGGCTAGATAATGAGAGCTTCTGAATGCCAGGATGAAATGCCAGGATGCTGTCAGGTTTTTATGTGTGAAATAGTTCTGTTTTTATTTTCCTATTTATGTGAGCGTACGTAAAACTTTACTTTTCTTAATGGTATTTACAACCCATCCACATCTGTATTTTCTGTGGCTAAATTCAGTTCAGAGTTAATTCAAATTAATTATGATTCCTATGGCATTCATTACATACTGCCTTAACCTTAGTTTATTGCTGTTTATAATTATCTTTATTTATAGCAGGTTTGGGTGAAACTTAGGGGAACCAAGGGGTTCATCAACATCTGGAACAATTTTTCAAAAATTTCGGATTTACTAAAACCCAAACATGCTGCCAAGCACCTCTTCCCACCCTCTTTCTCTAAACTTTGAAAACACATATATTTTAGAGAACATTGATTCCATGTGTTTTTAATTCATTTTAGTTTGTATCATCAAAATTTTTAAAAAAGTGATTTGGCATCCAGGAAACCCATTGAGCCTTTAAAATAAATAAACTTTTAACAGCTTAAAAATATCACACAAATATCTTGAAACAGTCAAAGGATAAAGTTTTGATGGATACTGATTGAGATTGAAATTTGGCAAAATTATTTTTCCACATTGATTTATAATGTTTCATCCAACTTCCAATCCACAATCTGGAGAGAATGAATTGAGTAAGTTAATCTTAGGAAAAAAATTCTCTACACCAAGACATACATCATTAGGGAGAAAATATTTAAAAACTTGAATCATGGTGTGTTAACTTTTAATATTGGGGATTTTTACTATATATTTGGTGATAATGTAAGAAACTTTTAGGACAAAATGGAACATGTGAGAAGTAACAAGGATAATGTAATTTGAAGAGGAAAATAAATTTAGTTATGAGTGACTTATGATTGTGACATAAGTCAGTGATTCCTATGATTTGAGAGAAGATTGAAGATTAGCCTCTCTGTCTCTCTCACACACACATGCACACGCGCGCGCGCGCACACACACACACACACACACACACACAGAGAGAGGGAGAGAACTATGTAAATATCCTGGTTCATTTATTAATGTAAATTCCACTACACCAATTAGACTGAGACAAAAGAGTTAAGTGATACAGAATAGATAACAGTCCTATTTAAGCCTGTCTATTTGAAATAACTCGTGAAAATTTTCAAGAGGATTACAGAGATGACTTTTGAGCATTTGAAAGTAAGAACTCTGGAGTTACTCTAAATAATACAGATATAGATTATTTAACAAAGTTGGTGAAAAATGTCAAATGTTATTGGTATGGTAATGGAAATTTAAATGAAATGCCATTTTTTTCACGTTAGAAAAGATGTTTATCTGAAGAATATCTTAGGATCTTCCACATCTTTCTTCCATATTATTCAAGTTCTCCAATAGGAATATTCATATGTTGCTGATAAAAATGTAAAATAAATTTGAAGATGTATATTGAATTTAAAAATGTTAATACAGTAGTCCCTCCTTATCCAAGGTTTTTACTTTCTGTGGTTTCAGTTACCCTTGGTCAACCACAATCTGAAAATACTAAATGGAAAATTCCAGAAATAAACAATTCATAAGTTTTAAATTGTGTACCATTCTGAGAAACATGATCAAATTTCCGCCATCCCATTCTGTCCCACCTGGGTAGTGAATAATCCCTTTGTCTAGCGTATCCACCCAGTAGACGCTACTAGTTAGTTACCTAGTAGCTGTCTTGGTGTCAGATTGACTGTTGTGGTATCTCAGTGTTTGTGTTCAAATAACCTTTATTTTACTTAATAATTGCTTCAAAGTGCAAAAGTAGTGAGGCTGGCATATTGTTATAATTGTTCTTTTTTATTAGTTGTTGTTAATCTTTTACTGTTCCTAATTTTTAAATGAAACTTTGTCATACGTATGTATGTATAGGAAAAAAACAGTATATATGGGGTTCAGTACTATATCTGGTTTCAACCATCCACCTATCTCCTGTGGATAAGTGGGGGGACTACTGTAATCTTTAACCCAGTAATTCTACTCTTGAGAATGATTATATGTTCAGTTGAGGCAAAAAAATGTGAAACAATCTAAGTGTCTAAACATAAGGAAGGGTTAAACATCTTATAATGTCCACACAACGGAAAAATAATGTTCATGAAAGGTTTATGATAAATTAGAGATATGTTTATGTAAAGTGCAATACAAAATATGGCAGTGTTTCAAGTTACATAGAAGAAATATGGAATACACAAAGAAGAAACATATATAAAAGCAATAGTGATTTTATTCTATTCATTTCATAGCACTGAGTCAGTACTGGTGGCAGAACTCAAGTATTCAATAGTTCCTAACTTTATTTTAGCAGACCGTAAGTGCTCAGTAAGTGGAGGCTATTTTTTATATTAAAGTTCTCAAATTAATCACATGTAAAGTTATTTTTCTTCTTTAATAAAAAGGAAATTATTGGAGGAAAAGTAAGACTTTTCTCATAGCATTTGAGAATAAAAGTTATGTGGTTACCTAATTTTAAAAGCTAAAGTTTCAGAAACATAAAGATTTTTGAATAGAAAAATCTTCATACTTTAAATTACAATTTGAATTAGGTTTAATAATTGTGAAAATTAATTTCTCCATTAAAAGGTAAATTCTTACATTAACATTTTTACTATGTGTAGTTGGCATATTGAATCTGAGGGCCAAGTTGCATGCCCTAGTCAAGCCAGACTGAACTACCATTGCCAATAGGAGCAAGAAGTCCAGTATATTCCCCTCCAAGGTCCCATTATTTTTCTTTTATACTCCTATGAGTCCCGATTTTCAGTGATCTAGAAAGTGGAAGAGAATTCTCTGATTTATTCCTAGTTCAGTATGCCAGCTGTGGCAGAGGGTTCCTGTCTCCAGAGTGGAAGCTGCCTTCCTGGGCTGTGTTGGAAACAAGAAAGGTGGTGCAGAGTTCCCTGTGCAGCAGTCATTCTGAGTTCTGAATCGATCCTGCCTAGTTCTGGAAAGGTGTACTCTCCCAGTTTCTAGGATCCCTCTGATTTTAAAAAGAATTCCCCACGAACTTATCAGTGCCTTCAAGGTCAAAGTTCTATCAATTCCTGAGCCAAAGCATTTCCGTGGGGCAAAGGCTACCTACAGGAGAGAATCAGGGCACATTTTGATACCCATCATCTTTCAGGTAAGTAATGATGATGAGCGGGGCTGCAGTGGAAATAGCCATTGAGTAAGGCTGATTAAGCAGCCAAGCTGTATCCTGAGGGAAACATGGGCAAAGGAAAGCATCAGATTTCCTGGATCAAAGCTATCCTGAGCTCAGGGACTGGGCTAACTGTCTCCGATTCAGCCCTCTCAGGAAAAGGAATGTAGATTCTTATTTCAGTCTCAAAGAAACTCTGGGCTTTAGAGAACTGAGTCTCCAGTGTTTCAACCCTGTCAGCATTCTGCACTACTATTAGGTTGAACTACATGAAATGGTTATTTTTGTAAGTCACCAATGGTTGGATGTTGGCAGTCTCATAAGGTTCATTCTAATAGTTCCTGGGACACAAATGACTCGAAGTAGGTCAAGACAGGTTCAGCACTTGTACTGTGCATGTTAGTGTGAGTCCTCCAAGAAGCAGATGCCAAGATGGAATAAAACAGGCAAGGATTTTATTAGGAGGAAATGCCTGCATGTAAAAGAAGTCGGAAGAGAGTTGAGCCAGTCATCAGAATGTGATGCTAGTTTGACCTCAAGCGAAGGAGAGAGGGAGAGAAAGTTGGCTGCAAGCCTCCTAGATTTCTATATGGTCTCGGGAAGGTTTGATAAAACTTTAGGGGAGTTCTCGAGCCAGTCAGCCAAAAAGAAGTCTCACGTCTCCCAGAGACAGGTCATTGGCAGGAAGCAGCCTATGGGAGATGTGGCCATGACACAAATGCAGGGATAGGTTTCAGGGATTGGCGGCTGGGGCCTCAGTCAAACACAGTTCTTGTGGGTGGAAGCCCACCAGGTGTATTCTCATGCCTACCACACCCTGAGACACAGAAGCACAGATGATACCCTGATTCATTCCAGGCCTTGCTCACTCCCTTCACCCTCTACCTTTGTTTTAACCATATTTTAGGAGTCTCGTTGTTCATCGTTGCCTCATGAGGCCGTCTAAATCTACCCTGACTTTTATGGAGAGGAAGTTGGTGACAGAGACTAGGACTATGGTC